ACAGATGAGCCAAACCCTCCTTGACTCATTTCTGTCCTAACCCCAAGAGATCTCCCAAGAGCAATGCTGAGCCTCTAATGCTTGATGGGCTTGTGTGTAGAGCTTGGTGCTTTAATTTCCTTTTTGCTCTTTGTTGACCATGGAAGCACCATGAATTGTTGCCTTATCTCATATTGTTGTACTCTGTTATTGCTGTTGTGCATTTAATTTTTTCATTTTGGAGTTTAGAAATGTTTTATTTTAGAAAGGTAACACCATTGTCCATTTTAAATGCAATCTTCCTATTTAGAGTTATTCCGCTAAGATAAAGAAATATTCTTCATACAAGTAACTGTCTTTCCAGATATCCCACAGTCATCCTTTTCAGGTTTTAAGTCATGTTCATTCTCAAGGAAGCTTTCAAACTGATTTATTCACTCATATTTCTTGGTAAGTTTCCTTTGCCTGCCTGCTCCATGTTAGAAGGCTTGAGGAGGATGAAGAAGAAGGTTTGAGAGAGATGACCTGCGTGACTATTAAAGACCCAGAGAGCGCTGTCCAGCATTTCATCACTTTTAATGAATCACGAGGTGGCATTATCTAGGATTATTACACAATTAATTCTGTTGGCTGATTCTGCTTAGAGACCCAGAAACAGAACGCTCTTTATGAGAATGGCCCTGCTTCCTTCTCCATGGCTCTAGAGACCAGGCAGAAGTTAGTGATTCTTCAGGAGGACTGTCAGATATGTGTTTTTGCCTCTGTTTGGTTTTAGTTTTTTCTCCCTTCTCTAAATGTTTCCTTTTTAAGAGAACCTAACTTTCTTCACAAGAAGTTTGGTTTCCCTGACCTCCCTCACTCTCTCTTTTTCTGTTTCTAACGGTCCTTGAAATGAAATATTTTCTTGAGTTTTCCTTTGTACTTGGGCAGCCTACTCAATGACTCTTAAGAGAATAGCTGGTGACCTGTGGCTCTCTCTGCAGAAGAGAATGCACATTTTGTATTCTGGCCTCTAAATACATGGGTAGATTTAAAAATGAAGACATAAGATCATCTCCAGCATGGTGTCAAAAATTCCTTCCAAGCTAAACCTTGATTTTTAATCTTCCATCACTTTGGTCTTATGGATGAATCTGCGTTTATAAAAGCAATACTGCTTCTTTATAGGCTGACCTCAAGTTATATTGGAGAAGGAAATGGCAACCCACTCCAGTATTCTTGCCTGGAAAACCCCATGGATGGAGGAGTCTGGCAGGCTACAGTCCATAGGGTCACAAAGAGTCGGACATGACTGAGCGACTTCACTCAAGTTATATGTTTCTTCTTGAAGACCCCCTACTTTGGGAGGTTAGAGGAACTAACACTCCTAATGATGATATTGATGTTAGCGTCACATTCTGGGTTTTATGAAGGCTGTGTGTATGGTTACAGGCACTTCATCTGGCACTTCTCTTACAGACCAGAAATCTTCCAAGTGGTTCTTTGCATGTCATGATCAGACATACTGAAATCTCAATATATACCAAATCTCTCTTCCTGTCATATGTGTGTGGCAATTTTTGATTTCCCAGTTTAGTGCTTTTTCGTTGAGAGTGCTGCAGTTACTGCATTCAGCAATTGCTCTTTGGGTATAAATTTTCTTGGCAGAAAGCAGCCCTGAGTTCTACTGTTAACATGGTTCTGACCTGGGTCTTCCATATAAGTCCATTAATTCTACCAAACAACCAACCAGCTGACTGAAAAAAAAAATCTGTCTAACTAGCTCCTTGATCAAGCCATGAAATTGAGATTATATTACACTGTATATTTGTATCTTATTATAGCGGCCAATGTCATATATTTGAAATGTGGTTAGGATCTATAGGATAAACAGATGCAACTCAGATAATATACCTACAAAACTCCAACTTAATATGTTGATAATGAGTAGATTCTAGTATGAAAGTTAAGTGTTGGTCGCTTAGTGGTGTCCAACTCTGCAACCTCAGGAACTGTAGCCAGCCAGGCTCACCTGTCCATGGAATTCTCCAGGCAAGAATACTGAAATGGGTTGCCATTCCTTTTTCTAGGGGATCTTCCTGACCTAGGGATTGAACCCAGATCTCCCGCATTGCAGGCAGATTCTTTACCATCTGAGCCACCAGTAAAGATTATAGTATGGAGATGAAAGGCATTGGATAGGAAGCAGAAAAGCTGAGATCTGTCCAGCTTTGTCACAACATATCTCTTTTAACGCATCTGGGCTTGTATTTTCTCATCTGTACAATGAGGAGATTGGGTTATAGCTTCTTCTATCTCAGAAAAGTCAAGACTACACCTTCAGTAGCGGTCTGTTGCCCCTTCTTGACTTTGAAGATGGTGTAGACCTTTAAAAGGGTCCTTGTTGAGATTTCTACGTCTTTTAATCATTGGTTTCAGAATATAGTTTTATTCAATTTTATGGCAGAAAACTTTTTTTTTTAAGAGACATGAACTACCTATTGCCATGGAACAGGGAATACGTGATTAATTTGGTGGAATGACATGAACTCTTTTAGGTTGCTTTGTTCTTCATTATTTTATTCAACAATTAGCTCCTAAAACCTCTAAGACCCTGGGCTCCACACAGACACTGTCTCTCCAGGTTCTGGTTCTAGCTGAGAGAGAGATCTCCCACTATGAAAAAGTTAATCTCTGTGGCCCATCAGGGAGGTGGTGACCTGGTGAACCATTTGCCTGTTGAGTGCACACATCTGGAAAACTCTCCTTGGCAGAGCAAATACACTGTTCTCAATTTTTCATCCCCATCAGTGAGGAGTGGCTCTTTAGCAAGACGTAACCACACAATAATGTAACAAAACCAGCTAAGGGCACTTCATTTATTATAGGGCTAAATGCTCATTATTGTTTGTAAAGGATGAACTCAACGTCTTCAGAGTTACAGTTTATACATGGTTGATTTCCATTTACAAAGAGAGAATGTCCTTGTTTTCTCTAAATGTCAAGCTTTGACTTACAAAACTCCCGTTTTCTTTTAGGTGGGGTGTGTGTATATTCAAGAAAATGTTCAGCAACTAGATGGGAGAGAAGAGAAATAAAACTTGAAATGTAGAAGAAGGGAAAGCACATTTCAAAAATTCCAAACAAACAAAACCCAAAAAACTGAGGGGGTGTCATGGAAGGTCTTCACAGAAAAGACCAATACTGTATGCTTCTTTTTAAATGTGCTTCCTCCAGGAGTAGAAAGAACAAGAAAGACTGGATTTTTCCAACAGGAGTGTGAATCTAGAAATTCTTAAACTAAAATTCGTGTAATTTCATTCTGCAAAGAGGCACTTTGCTTATGCAGTTGAAATAAAAATAAAGTGCCTACCTGGGTATTTCCAGGATAACTGTAAGCAAATAAGACTAATTAGAAGCCTTCACAGTCTCTAATTAAAAGCTAGGAAATAAATCACTCTGAGATACAAAAATCCCTGGATGTTTGGAAGAGTCTCTTCCCCAAGCCTAAAGTCCCTGTTCCATAGAGCACATCATTTTGGAAGCAGGGCATAGGTGGATCCAGAGCTTGGTACTCATGGATATAGACCAAAATACACATTTGGGACAATGAGTACAGGAAATAGGGAGGGGCAGTATTTTAGTACCAGTTATACTTGAAAAATATCCTTTAAAGAGAATGAGAGCTCCCATGGGACAAACTGAGACGAAATTTCAGTTGAAGTGAGAGGAAAAATTGAGGCACTTTGGCTTAACCTTTGGGGACTTTTAAACTCAACTTTTTTACATCCCATGATCAGTTGCTTCTTTGGAATCAAGTTATTATTGGGCATGGGAGACAGTGTGGAATGAAGAGAGGAAATAGGCATACAGTGGGGAAGGGAGGGAGCAGGAAATCTCACTTTAATGAATAATAATTTTTTATAAGATAGGTCTGCCATATTCTCTTCCTAATCAGTTTGATTGAAAAGCAGAAATCCTACTTTCTTAAAAGCACAGTTCATTTGTAATTTTGAAGAGCCAACTCATTAGGAAAGACCCTGATGCTGGGAAAGATTAAAGGCAAGAGGAGAAGGGGGAGACAGAGGATGCAATGGTTGAATGGCATCACTGACTCAATGGACATGAGTTTGAGGAAACTCTGGGAGATAGTGAAGGACAGTGAAGTCTGGTGTGCTGCAGTCCATAGGGTTGCAAAGAGTCAGACCTGACTTAGCGACTAAACAACAACAATGACAATATAATGTGGAAAAAATAAAGTGACCAATCAACGTAAGCATTTCTGGGAGGTGAATCTTAGGCAATAAATGTGGACCTGCAACAATTCAGATGGTGTTTCTTTCATTTGGGTTCAGAAATTACGGCTTCGTATATTTCCAAAAGTTTCAACATTTCCTTATATCTTCTTACAGTCAGGCATTCAGAGGTACATGTTGGTTTTAATAGCTTTGGTAGAAACATGCTGAAAATAGGAATGAACATAAAAACCTTTTCCTTTAAGATAGTTTGGCGTGGTTTTATAAGGCCTGAGTAAACTGGTATATTAGTAAATTTCTTAAAATAATACAAATTAATGTAAGACACATAGTAGAACAGCAGATTCAAGAAAAAAAAAGGTTAGTGTCATATTCTCATGTTTTGTAAAAGACATCACATAAGGCCACCAATACAAGAACCAAGTTCTTTTTTTTTTCGGTTTTCCTGTGATGATTTCCTATCAGTTTCATGTTCTTGGAGGGGATGATAGAAACCTCAAGATGGCCTTGATTTTGTTTCCCACGTGGTCAGCAGTGGCACTGGCTGGGATCTGGGCTCAGCATTCTCGTGGAGTGTGCAACGTGGATGCTTCTGGCTGGGAGGGAGGAAGTGGCAGTTGGCTGATAGTGTGCTGTGCTTGGGAGGGCTCACAGGGCGGAGGGGCAAGCCTCTGTCTGGGTCAGGGACTTCCTCTCTGGTCATGCCCTCCTTTTGGCTTGAGCTGGGTCACAGAGATTGGCTGCCATTCTTACCCTCTGTGGGGTGGTGGTGCGTCTCCAGCTACCTCAGATAATGGAACAGCAGCTGAGACACTGGGAGCAGTGTTTCTTCTTTTTCTTGGGATGGAAAATGGTGAGGATTGCTTCATCAAAAACTGCTTTGAGACCTTTCTGGGTCAGGGCCGAGCATTCCAGGTAGCACTGTGCTCCAATCTAAAACACAAAGAGAGGCGTGAGAGGAGAGAGAGCGAGGCACAGTGGGGTCTGCCCTCTGCCCAGCCAGGAGCCACCGCTGCGTCTCACACGCAGCCCGGGGATGGTTGGGATCACTTTTCCTTCTGCGTTTCAACTTGCATCTGCTTTTCTTTTTGGTGTTTTTATATATTTTGCTTCCTGATATTAATATTAAATGACTATGGATTGCTTCTGATAAACAACAAATTTATTCATAAGTATAAGAACATAAAACATAAAAATTAAGAGAGGATTCAAAACCAGTGATATAGTTGAACTATTTTTTTTGTGAACTACAGGGTAGGTGATGCTGTTTTTGGTGCCTTCTCATTTGTATGCAGAACATGTGAATGTGGTACAAGTGAAATGAATTCCCTTCTGTGCATAGTAGGGCAGGGTGTCAACTTGCTTAATAAAGCTCATAGAGAGTGGTTTTATAGAGAGTGATATGGCTTTAGAGGTCATTTTTGATTAAAATGCACTTCTGACAAGGTGTCTCTCAGCAAAGTAATATCTGATTGGTTATATTATTCAGTTTTAAGATACATTAAAAGGCATATGTTAAGCAGTTAAAAAACTCCCAAAACACATAAAAATAAAGGTCATAAAATATATCTACTGACACAGATATCCTCTTTGTCAATATACAGTCTACGTGTATTTAAATGACAAAATATCTTGTGCTTGCCTAGGGCTTTATTTCAAAGCTTTTGATGATTTCATATTATGACATATTGGATAATCACAGATCCCTATGAGAAATATAAAAATTCAGGCCAGAGTTACAGATTCTCATTTTTAAAAAATTGCAGGTAGAGCAGCCCATGTTTGGCAGTCAACTTCATGAGATAATTCATGCGAGCAAGACCTGGGGTTTTAATTGCTCCCCAGCTCAGTATGAGCTAACAATTTGATGTGGACTTTTTAATATTAAGGACATCTGGAAAAATGCGTTTATTATATGCTTCACATTATAACAATAACTTAAAAATTAAAGTGTATTCAGGAGAGGGTGGATGGATGGAGAGCTCCTGGAAACCAACAGATAAATGACTAAAACAGGGTAGCAAAATCACATGTTGATTAGGGCCAGTAGCTTAGGTAACTGAGTAAAGTAGGGCTGGTACCAGACAACAGGGAGAGATAGAGACTGCAGCGTCCTATGGGTGCACACCCCTCTAAAGCTGGCAGTCTACTTGGCTTTGGACCATTGTTGTCATGAAGGAATGTTGGTTCATTCTTGCCATCTCTGTGTTTTTGAAGAGGACGTGGGCATTTGGATTTTAATTAATATTTACCCATTAAAAAATACTCTATTGGCCAAGCAAGACACTAATGTGGGGTGCCTTGGGCAGCAACCCGCCAATTTGTATTGCTTAAGAACGCCCCACTAGAAAGTGAACGAGCTAGACCTGGAATCTGGGTCATGTTCTTTCCCTGGTCCATGATGGAAATTCTGACCCTCATCACTCAACTCTGGTCAAGCTGGCAATGAAATGAGGCTGCCCACTTGTTTGAAAGTCCACAGATAAGAAAACTAAGCATGAGGTAAAATTGTTCTGGTGGGGTCCAGATATGCACTTTTTCCCTACATGGTTATTGGTTACTATATGAGCCAAAAAATTTCCCAAAGGAAGCATGTTACATATTGAAAACTTATTTTATGGTTTTGCTTTGACCATGGTCTGGATTAGGAAATAGCTTTTTTATATAATTAAAAACAATTGAATATAAGAGAGGGATAGTGAAGTGAAAGTCACTCAGTCGTGTCTGACCCTTTGCAATCCCATGTACTATACAGTCCATGGAATTCTCCAGGCCAGAATACTGGAGTGGGTAGTCTTTCCTTTCTCCAGGGGATCTTCCCAACCCAGGGATTGAATGCAGGTCTCCCACATTTCAGGCGGATTCTTTACCAGCTGAGCCACAAGAGAAGCGAGGGATAAGGATTAGAAAAATTTTTCCTAATAATGTCCTGAAATGTCATCTCTTTCAGTTTGGGATTGTATTCAGGACTCAATATTAACACATGTGAAAAGCACACTAATTTAATGAATGTGTCTACTGAATGAGTGGCTGTAATGTACTGGCTCTTGTCAGTCATCCAGAAAAAAATACCCAGAACACGCCGTGGGACTGTTGTATCTAGAATACCTCCCCGCTAAGATCACAAGCCTCAGCTGACTCTGGAAATTACAGGACAGCTGGACGGAGCTGGGTTCACACGTGGAATTCTGGACCATCTGGTCCTGCAAGATGGGAGCGTGCACATTTTCTCCTTCCCTTGTCTCTCCCCCGCCCCCGCCACAGTGCTGCTGACAACCTATCAGAGTTTGCCTTTTGATGGAGCACGAGGGGTCCAAACTTGTCTTTCCCAATTCAGACATTTCTGAAGATAATCAAACAGTAGATCAAGGCATTATTGTGTAACTGGGTTAATATAGGATTATTTTGTACTGATAGTTACAGGAAAAGCAGCAAACAGATTTTGCGTGTGATTTGGGAAATATGTGTGAGAATCAGAACCCAGTTGTGAGGTTAGTATTGCTAACCAAGGATCAGGTGCTCTAATGGTCAGAGGAAAGAATCCATCCTGATGCAGGTAAGACTTATTCCCTATAACGCAGTCATGTTATAGGGACTGCTAGAAAAAAACTGTGTGCCCTCCAAGATGCAAAATGCAAAACCATCCCAAGGAAATACAGCCTCTTTTATAGCAGCAACTTCATCTGCCTCTTGGAGCAGAGTGACCTACACTGTCAAATATTTAGAATCCATCTGCAAGTGCTCAGGATTCACAGATCTTTGTTTAGATATACATGTTAGCAATCTGGGACATGCTTTACCAAAATGATGTGTTTTCAGGAACAAAATAGACACTGAGGAATGTAAACTGAGAGAACATTTTCCTGATAACTTTATAATAGCTGTAACTTAATGTTTCAGAAGCTGGGAAATTTATCAGAGGTATACAGAACATAAAAGAGTCTGACAAGAAGGAAAAAAACAGGCAAACAAACTCACAGTGACCAATCAAGTGAAAGAAAACCAAGTGCTTCTTCCAGGTGGTCCTTGTGGAGGTGGGACATGTTCTAGAATAAGATAAGGCATAACTGGAAGGAATAAAATGGAAGATCTGCCCAGCTGCAGACATATCTGAGAGGACACAATGTCTACAACAGTGCTAGCTAGGTGAGCTAGACCTTGTGGAAGGTACACTGGCTCACTAAGTTGAGAGGTAAGTCTCTCACCATTCTCCTTTGCAGCTCAGAAAATTGATGTCCAGAGAGGTAAGGTAACCTCCCTAAGGCCATACAACTAAGAAAATGGCAGAGATTTGAATGTGTCTGTCTCCTGAGCCTGAGTCTTAACCATTCTGTTGAGGTCTCTCTAGCAAATGTAAAGAAATGTGATGAAAAAGCAAAATAAACAGACGGAGATTTTGTTATGACAGAGTGACGATGAGAAACGAGAAGGAAAAGGAAGGTTGGTACTCTGTAAATAGGGAGAAGAGATGTTAGTACAATAAACAGTAAGCTGGTATCTAAAGAAATGGCTTGTAGTGGAGAAGTTCCTTATTTCTTATTTAAAATTTAGGAAAGTTATGCAGACAGAATGTTCAACTTGAGAGCCACATGATGGAAAGAGAACCAAAGGACTTGTGAGAAAGATTCCATCTCAATAAATTAGCATGATGACCAAACTGCTGAAAGAGGAAAAGTGTTTCTAGGCTGGATGCATTGGCTGCTGATTTTTTTTTTTTTCAAGAATTGGTAGAAATTGCCAACTCAAAGGTGGATAATGTGACTGTACTGCTTGAGCATAGGTTATTATGAGGTGTTGGGGATTGTGGCTTACTGAACAGTATATATTGGTTTGGGTTTTTCTGTACCATCTTATGAACTTTTGGGCCAACCCAATGCCTTATTTAAAAAACTGTTTAAAAGTTGCAATTGATGAGGAAATGCTGGATTGTGCTGCCAGATGTATTGATTTTTTTAAGAAGTCAGAAATGTGTATATTTACATGAAATTTCCAAATTGCTCAATGTTGGCCACTAAATCACATCAAAAATACCCATGTTGGTTGATCAAACATTTGTGGGTGCAATCTGGGCCATTACTTGCACGTGTCGGTCCCCCTGATTGGAATTTGATCTCCTCAGCCCCCTGGTTTTGTCCCCCTGAGAAACTTATTATCCTGGCTCAGTTGTTGGTTTCTCCAGTCTGTCTCCCCAAACGCGTCCATCACTGTCTCCTCTCCGCTACCCCAGTGCACGTGTCTATTCTATTTGTTCAGTTGGTGCGCTTTAGCTTGCCTGTCTCTCGTCTTCTGGGCTGTGGGCCTCCTGAGGGCAGGGCTGTCTCCCTCTGATCTCTGTAGCCCAGATCCCAGGGGTGAAGTGACTGATCTTCCATGACCACAGGACAAAGTGGAAACGGCCGGCACACAAAACAAGGAGGGTCATGGTGAGGTCACAGTCAGCGGGAGGGTGTTAAAGACTCGATGAGCATTGATGACAGGGTTTTTGCTGCACTTTTGCTGCTTTAAACCCCACTGGTGCAAGTCAAAAACCCAAGAAACGGGTGCTAAGACAAAGTGAGAATAGCAATAAAAAATGCACAGGGTGAAGACGATGACAAGAGAGGCCAAAAACTGAAAAAAGGAAAATGGTCCAGTGTTTTATTCAGAAATACCTTAGGGAGACTGAGCTTAGAACACCATGTTTAGATTGTATTCAGTGGAATTGGGAAAGAGAATGCATAAAGCATCAGCAGCAGCATCATCTTAGAGCTAAAGTGGCACAGATTAGGTATTAATTATTGCCAAAGAAGTCCAGCTGCAGTACAGACATACACAAATGACAAAAGGATGGGAAGAGTAGGCTGAAAATTAAAAACAATAATGGAAAGAAGGGGAAGGATAAAGCAAGTAAAGGGACAAAAATGACTATTTATTATAAACTGATATAAAACATTTACATAAATGTAGTTGACTCTAGAGTGTAAATAATAGGAAATATGTATGACAGGAAAATGTCTCATAAATAAAATGTCCTTTCAGATAAAAAAGAGATGATAAATGAAAAACATTTTGGGAATTGAAAAGTACTGAACAAAAGTATATAAAAAATTTGAACTTGCAAAGCATTTAAGTTATATGGGGAGAATATACACATTAAAATAGGGACCTTCAGGGACTTCCCTGGTGGTCCAGTGGTTAAGACTTCACTTTTCCTGTGCAGCGGGTGAAGGTTCGATCCCTGGTTGGGGAGCTGATACCCAATATGTCTCATGGCAAAAAAATAAAAACATTAAACAGAAACAATACTGTAACAAATTCAATGAAGACTTTAAAAATGGTCCACATCAAAAAAAGTCTTTAAGAAAGATACGGGGCTTCAGTCTATAAACAAAGAAGCCCCAAACCTAAGGGTTTCTTTTCAGATTAGAGGTGGGAGGTAGAAGATCATGGTGGTTAAACACAGTTTCATATCCTGGCCCTGCCACTTTCTAGCGAGGCGGTCTTTGCTTCTCTGAGCCTCAGTTTCCTCTAGGAGAGTGGAGGTAATAATAGGTACACCTTGGGGGGTAGCTGTGAGGATTAATTAAGACAAGGCATGTAAAGCTCTTGGCATGAAGCCCAGCGCACTGCAAACACTCCATAAATGTTAGCTGTTATTATAAACTACTTGACAGGAAAGTCAGGGAGCAGAGAAACCTAAAGCATCTCTATAATTACATGAATTGTGATGAAACAAGTTAAACTCTTGCTTGGTTTTCTTCTAAATTGGATTTTGTAAGCTAAACATGATTTTCGCTGTATCTGAGAGCAGTTGCTAGGAGAAACTGGCAAAAGGCAATGAAGTGGTGAACTCAGCCATTGTTCCTAAAATAAGTATGAAATGAGATGGGAGGCTCTGGAACGACTTCTTCTCAGAGGGAAAAAACAACTTCCCAAATGAGAAGTCAGTCTAGGACGTTGACAGGATGGTGGTGGGAGAGACTACAGAAGCAAGAGACACAAAACAAATCTCTGCACAAAGCTGATGCTGAGCCTTTGGAGCCTCCTCGCTGTGAAAGATATCTAGCTGGGAATCACATACGATCATTTGTGGAACTGTATGTTTAAGTACTTTAGGGAGAGAATGGAAGCTGGATGTTTGAGGAAAAGGAAGAAGAACCTGTAGAAATGTGCCCATTTCTTAAAAAAAGTTTTGGCCGTGTCACATGGCATATGAAATCTTAGTTCCCCAATGAGAAATTGAACCTGTGTCCTCTGTGTGGAAGTGCAGAGTCTTAACCATTGGACCACCAAGTAAGTCTGACATGTGCCCATTTTATAGGTGGGAAAAGAAATGGTTTGAGGAGATGGTTTACAAAAGATCAGGTGCACGGGGGTGGGGAGATCAGGAAGATCCCCTGGAGTAGGAAATGGCAGCCCACTCCAGTGTTCTTGCCTGGAAAATTCCATGGACAGAGGAGTCTGGTGGGTTACAATCCAAAGGGTTGCAAAAAGTCGGACATAACTGAGCAATTGAACACACACACACACACACACACACACACGCACACACCACCCTATTATTAGCTGTGTGAATCAAACCTATTCATCTCCCTCAGACTCTGGGTCCTCAACTGTAAGAGAAGACCACTGCTCTCTCTACTTATGAGGGGAGCAAGAGGCTGAAATGAGATGGAGCTTGTAACGTGCTTAGTGAGAATAGGATGGGTGGCTCGCATTGCTGTTTCTAACATTACCATCCCTAAAGCATAGCGCTAAGTCGCTTCAGTCGTGTCCGACTCTTTGTGACCCCATGGACTGTAGCCTGCCAGGCTCCTCGTCCATGGGATTTTCAGGGCAAGAATATTGGAGTGGGTTGCCATTTCCTTCTCCAGACGATGTTCCCAACCCAGGGATTGAACCTGTGTCTTCTACATTGGCAGGCAGGTTCTTTACCACTAGTGCCATCTCACATTTGTGAGATGGTCTCATGTATTACATCCATAGAAACAGAATTTTATTTAATTCATTTCTATTCAAATGTATCACTTAATTTTGTTGCCTATAAGATAGGTTTAATAAGAGAAATGCATTCATTTTTATTCACAAAAAATTGGTAATTAATGTGACTCTTGACCCATTTAAAAGCAGGGGACCCCTAACTCTGCCCCAGGTCATGCATTTGCAGAGTTAGTTAAATAAAGTAAAAGAGAAAATTCTGAGACCTTTGGTTTGGCTTGATGGGTTTGTGACTAAATCAATGAGGAGGTTATGGAAATATGATTTATAAACCTCCTTTTGCATCTGGTACCTCATCCTTTCATGTACATGTTAGTGTCTGCTTTTGTGCACATCTTGGCAGTAAATGGGAGACAGATTTGGTCTAAATTGTTTTCCCAACAAAATCATTCTTTAGCTCTTAAGAATGAAGAAAGGACCATGGAAAGGATCATGGAAACTGTTCCAGCTGTGAGCAAGTAGCTATTATCTGTGAATAGCCCCTTGGATTCTTTGGCTAGTTACCTTTTGGTCCATGTTACTCTTTTAAGATGCTGTTGGTGACATAATCCAGCTCCTCTAAGTGGCTACTCATTATAGGGTGAGAAAGACTAAACAAATATAACCCTGCCAGATGCAAATCTAAGCTTCTCTCAGGAAAATCACAAAATGCCTTTTATGGAGCCGTTTAAATGAGTTACATGGATAATAAGCAGTGAGATTTACAAATATCTATCTAATGACTCCCTTTATTCATACTCAGTATGGCAAATGGATATTCTAGAGGTTGCTAAATCAAATGATAAGTGCTTCAGCTGTTTAAATTCATCAAGTTTCTTTCTTAATGAAAACCAGACAGTGCTGGCTGATAAGAATGCTAACCAAATGGTCCCTTCCAGCCTGAATTGAACAGAGGGAAGTGTATATAAAGCAGAGAGATGATTTTGAACATACTGCACTTTAAAGCAAAAGCCTATGTAGCGCTTCTATTCTAAAGCATACAGCAAACTCGTCTCTCAGAAACCATTGAAAATGAAATTCAAAATCGGTACCGCTTTTGCAAGCTTCACACCATGCTCGTAAGTGAGAGGTTTCTCCTTCATATATAGCAAACGGGCCAAAGTTTTGGGGTCATCTCGGAGATCAATCTGGCAAAAAACACACATGTAATACATTTATTCACTTTTTCAGGCCTTACCAGATATTTCAAACCCTGACATAATAGAGATGTTTTCCCACTTGACACTCATGAAATTGCTGAATTTTCTTTAAGGAAGTGCATACACATGGCCATATTATGTCTAGAAATTAAAGTGAGTTCTTTGTATATGTATACCCCAGGCTTTCCTTATAGTTTCACCTTCAAAACTATTATCCTGGGAAAGTGAAAGTTGCTCAGTCCTGTCCAACTCTTTGCAACCCCATGGACTGTCAGTCCATGGAATTCTCCAGGCCAGAACACTGGAGTGAGTCACCTTTCCTTCTCCAGTGGATCTTCCCAACCCAGAGGCGGAACCCAGGTCTCCCACATTGTAGGCAGATTCTTTACCAGCTGAGCCACAACGGAAGTCCTAGAACACTGGAGTGGGTAGCCTATCCCTTCTCCAGCAGATCTTCCTGAATTGAACTGGGGCCTCCTGCATTGTAGGAGGATTCTTAACCAACTGAGCTATCATGGAACTTTCACTATTACCCTGGGAGCTGAGGACTTATTCAAATGATTCTGCGGCTGTTTCAAATGCTTTTGAAATTTCCTGTTTATTTCTAGATGCTACTTATAGAATATACAAAATAATCAGTCTTATTACTTTGCAGTGACGCCTCATTTGGTCTCTAGTTATATTACCAATTCTCTAATAGTTTATTTCCTGGCTCTGATTATATGTATATTATATACATAGACTTTTCCAAACCAAATCTTCATACTCAAAGGGATGAAGATTTGTCACTTGTGAGGATATTCTAAAGAATGTACTGTAGGCTCTGAAGGCAAGTTCTAAAGAGGAATTTCCAAGGGGCTTGCTTAAGGAATAAACATTAATCTTTTCAAACATAGAACTACTTCAAAAATAACGTTCATGTGCGGATGAGGGTTGAAAATTTAAATATTTAAGTTGCTTTAATCTCTCACTGTGTGTGTGAACCCATGCATACATGCATGCGTGTCAATATGGGCACATCAAAGCTTGTGTTTTAAAGAAAAGATGACATTAGGATCTCCTTTGAAAGCCCATTTCTCAGCTTTACAACTTTGTGGGTGGGTTTTATTTTTTTGCCTTACTTTTTTAACTTAGTGCCCATGAGTTATAAAAGGATTTGGATCATACAAAGATGTTGGCATGTCCCATTATATATTTTCTTACCAAATTGTCAAACATTATCATCTAGAGTTAAGGCAAAAGATTTTATTTAAACAAACAATTATCTTTCAGAGCAGAAGTGTTAATTGTATTTATGGATCTGTTAGTTCTCTGTCCACATATTCTCTTGGCAATATTTTCCTTTCTCTTACTCACTTAAAAATTTTTCTCGGTCAAGCAGAATGTAAAATGAGAAATAGAAAACAGCTGCATATGAAACAGACAACAATAAAGCTCTTCAGTATCATTACATTTCTATGTCTTTGGGATAGTAATTTGGGTTTTAACATAGCAAAGAACAATCTATTTAAAACTATAAAAAGCTAGAACAATCTCTAATGTGTTTGGGAACTGGCTTATTGTTGGAAATTCAAACTATGGAAATTTATTAGCTTTCAAAACACTTTAAAGTCTTTTACAATTGCAGCTTTGTCTGATATATATCTGTTTTAATATCATTTCTAAGATCTGAAAGACCGGGGGCCTTCAAGGGAATAGGGAACAGTGACTTTCTGTCTTCCTTTTCAAGGACTGTTATTGAGGAGTTTCTGTCATAATGAGCCTATTCTGATTGCTGTGGTCATTTTGACATTCACACCTATTTTGTGACTTTCAAACAATCATGGATTTTAGATATAAAAAAAATTAGGTAATAAGTGTAATTGACATCTACACCTCATTCCTCTGACTCAGAACTGGAGAAGGGTGTCTGTTTAAAAAATGACTTTGTTTTTTAAAGACAGAAAGTGGAGAGAAGAATTTTTAAAGGCCCCACGGAAACTTCCTGTTACATGTGCTTTCAACCGTGGACTAGATAACCACATGGTTCATAATAAAGGCTGTTCATAGGACTGTTGTACCTGAGACCCTGTATTCAACAGTGTTTGGTAGAGTAGGATGTTCTGGGAATGCCTACAGGGTCTTTGCATTTGGTTAGCCCTCCACGGCCACCCTACCCGGCCACGCCGCCGTCTAACCTGGGTCCCTATGAGGACGTAAGGCACGTGAGGCATGCATTCCTTCAGCTCAGGGACCCACTCCTCCTGGACGTTGTGATAAGAGGCAGGGTTTACGACCGAGAAGCAGATCAAAAACACATCAGTGTTGGGGTAGGAGAGCGGCCTCAGCTGGTTGTAATCCTCCTGTGGGAAGAGCAAAGAGTCTGTGTGTTTGTGTTGATGCAACAGGGTGAGGTGCGGCCCGTGTGGTTCCAGGAGTGACGCAGACTTTAGATTCCACCGCAGCGTCCTCGACACCGTTCCTTCCCGACCCCGGAATCTGGGGGTTCCCTGTATTACCAGAAGTAAAGGAGCCGTCGGCCAGGAAAACACTGTTGTGTACAGAGCAATTATGAATTGACCTCTTTTAAGACGAACTAAAAAAACAAAAACAAAAACAACCCTTTAAAACATTTTAAAATAGTTTTTGTGGGATAATTTACATACTATAAAGTTCATCCGTTTAATGTCTACAACTCAAGAAGAATTACTGCGATTCTTGTGTCTACGGGAATTGTGCTGTATTGAATATGGATTTAAATTAGTGGGCCATTGGCCAAGGCACAGAAATTCTCTCCTTATGTAATTTTAAAAAAATTGCATTGAAATTCAATTTAAAATAAGCTAACTAAAATGCAAAGCAACGAGTTGTTGCTAAAGCATACACCACAATATTTGAAGAAACATATTGTGTGAGGGGTTAGAGCTAAGAATTTGGGATTTGTTTCTAAATCTACCTAAAAGCCATATTGTGACCTAATAAATAAGATACCAGATTAATGAATTTTCCCCAAAGACTTTTCAGACCAGAATATGCTTTAGTTGAAGAGCTTGTGGTGGCATAAGATGTTTATGTATATGCTATTTTAGTGGGAGATGATAGAGACAAAGAAAAATGTTGGATCATCTCAACTTTGGGAAAAATCAGCAAGTACCTTTCACTGTATGTAAAATATTTTAGGAGGTTCCAAGGTGTAAAATCTGCTATTTCATTAGAAGTTTTTATCTATTGTCATAGAATTTGGTAACACAGTAACTTTATGTGTGTGTGTATATTTTATATGTATATACTATATACACATTAATAATACATGTTCTCACATACCACAATATGTCACAAATGTTCATACACACTACAGTACACTTCATATACATATACATACTACATCCAAGCAGACATTATACATATATAGATGCAACCAAATCTGTATGTTCACAGTTACATTGTCCATTTCTATGTACATATGTGTATCAATTCATTTATTAGGGTCTGTCCTTACTATTCTAACATTAAAAAAATTACAAAACATATATGCTCATCGTAAATATTCAAACATTATGTAAGGACATAGAATTAGAAGTAAAAGTTTGTTTCTATCCAGTGCTTTATCTCTAATAGTTTTTCCTCTCTTCCCAGGTGGAGTCATTATGTAATAGTATCCTTCCAAACTTTTAACATTTATTTACATATATAACATATACATGTTTATTTAAAAATTAATTGATTATATAGCTTAAATTGTTGTGTGATTCTTGCTTTTTTAAAAAAATTTGTTTATTTATTTGGCTGCATCAGGTCTTAGGGAGGCATGTAGGATCTTTATTGCATCACGTGAGATCTTTCATTGCAGTGTGTGGACACTCTAGTTGTGGCCCAGTTACTTGCTCCACAGCATGTGGGATCTTAGTTCCCCGACCAGGGATTGAACCCACATCCCCTGCATTGCAGGATAGATTCTTAACCACTGGATTACCAGGGAAGTCCTGATATTTGCTATTTTAAACTTAATATGTATGGATATTTAAAAATATCGACCTCACTATCTTTCTATTGACTCTAATAACATCTTTATTAAAAGGGGGTGCACATGGCCATGTACACGTGTGCCTGGGAGGATCCCCTTTGGAATGTCAGGCGCGGTCATCTCTGGTTGGTCAGCATGCATTTATCTGTCATTCAGTGCCCAGCACACAGGGGCTTAGTACACTATTACCGCTTTTAATTCTATCACAGCCTAAGCGAAATGCAGTGCAGGCTGGCAAGGATGCTGAATAATCCCAAAATCCTAAAAAAGTGAACTAGAAACACACAAAAAGTCAGTTATTGTGGCTCATTTACCACATTTCTATGAAAGCAATTAATTGGGAGTTGAATATGTTGCTTAAAAACTGATTGGACCAGGCCTACGACTGCATCTCAGTCAAGTTGTACCCATGTCTGTGTGTGTATGTCTGCATGTTGAGGCTGGTAGTGGTGGGAGGGGACAACATCTTTTATCAGTACCTCCTCTTCTGTACACAACTAGCCCTAAAAGCCAAACCTCTCCCAGGGTCTCTCTCCCCTCTCTCCTCTTCCTCACGGTCGCTGTGAAGTCCACAAGCTAAGAACTCTCCTTCCCAGCCCATGATCTATGGGTTCATAACACCACCTTCTCCCTGTCACTTCATCCTCTCCTCTGCATTGTCATAAATGGAGTAGGGGCTGTGTTGTTTTTTCTCGTGCCCCACTTACACTCCATCCATAGCAAATATTCCATAAGTGCTTTTGATTGACTGGATGACACGGGGCCTGCTGTGATCTGCAAATGAACACATGGCTTTTCTATGGATCATTTATTGTAGTTTTCCTCAGAATCACCTGGGGAGATTTAAAAACCTCCCGATGCCCTGCTAGCCAACTACCTGCCTCTTCCTTCCCTACCCTGGGATCAGTGAAATCAGAATCTCTTGAGAGTGGGTTTGGGCATCTGGGTATTCTGATTTCACTGGCCTGAGGTTGGCATGGAGTTGAGAACAACTGAATTACATCACCTTGACTAGCAACTGAAGATATATCAAGGGCTTATTACTAAGGGCCAGGCACTGTTTCAAGCTCTTTTATGTATGATCTAGTTGAATCCTCTCACTAGCCCTGAAAAGATGGTACATCAACTTCCGGATTTCATAGAAGAGGAAATTAAGGGTTAGAGAAATTCAACACTGGACCAAAATTACAGAGCTTAAACATCAGGATAGTGTATTTGGCCTGAATCCAGCTCTAGCTCTTAATTGTGAACAAGGAATTTGTTTCAGCCAAGAATTTTAAGTGACAGATCAAGCATTTTCTTGAAAATTCAATTCTCTAGGAATCTTAATATGGATTGATGCTTTACCCAAGGATCTAGGAAAAGAAATGTTAGACCCTGGGGTGGGTGTAGTTACCTATTGCTATAGAACTAAAAGGCCTGTCTCTAGGTCTGCATTTACCAGCAAGTACCACCAGATGGCAGCAGACACTGTATATTTAAAACCTCAAAGCCTAAAAAAACAACACAATTGGGAGAAAAGTCACAACTGGACAAATCGGGTCACAACTAGATAAGCAAATAACTGGTGGTCTGAAAGGATCATGTTTACTTGGTTCTTTACCCAGAAACTCTCAAAGGAATTCTACTTAATTACGGGAAAGTTAGGAAGACCCTGGGTTGCTGGATTAACTGTAGGTGGGAAGGTGCCAGCAGTTTGGTTTGTTGATAATTTTCTCTCCTAGTAGGTCCAGCTGGGTGACTTCTGACTGCATCCTTCATTGGGCTTTATGCTGCTCTGTATTCTGGCTCTCTCCTCTGTGGAAACTTTAGTGCTGCTCTATGTACTGGGCTGTGCTTAGTCGCTTAATGGTGCCCGACTCTTTGCGACCCCATGTACTATAGCCCATCAGGCTCCCCTGTCCACGGGGATTCTCCAGGTAAGAGTACTGGAGTGCGTTGCCATGCCTTCCTCCAGGGGATCTTCCCCACCCAGACATTGAACCCAGGTGTCCCGCATTGCAGGTGAATTCTTCACCACCTGGGCCACCAGGAAAGCTCAGTCCTGCTGTATAATTCCAATTAAAAAGATTAATTAATTTCCTACTGAATGCCTAGCATATAGCATTAAGGATGCTATAAGAACTATACAAGGTAAATAAGAATTGGAAATCTGGTTGGGAAAAAAAATGAAAATATGGGAAACAATTCGATTTATGTGAAAGTGAGAGGTGAAATTTCTCTTGTGTTAGTTGCTCAGTCATGTCCAACTCTTGTGACCCCATGGACTGTAGTCCACTAGGCTCCTCTGTCCATGGGATCCTCCAGGCAAGAATGTTGGAGTGGGCAGCTATTCCCTTCTCCAGGGGATCTTCCCAACCCAGGGATCAAACCCAGGTCTCCTGCATTGCATGCAGATTCTTTACCACTGAGCCACCACGGAAGCCTTGCTTTTAGTTAATTCCCTGATAATAGAATACTATAGAATAGTTTTTAACTGAATTGGGAAAATACAATTCCAAGGCTGGAAGAGGTCTTAGAGATCATTAGTGCAGTGGCTCCCAGAGGAGCATGGGCATCACCTGGGAGCTCGTGAGGGATGCACATATCCAGTGCTGGCCAGCCTTCTGAAGCTGAGGTTCTGGGAGCAGGGCTGCCCCCTCTGTGACCTAGTGGGTCCTCCAGGTGACTCCATTGTAGACACTGAATGATTGAATCGGGGCCACAGAGCAAGCGTACCATTAAAGAAGGCTCACACCTGGGCTGGCCTGACTCATTTCAGCTCCTCTTCCCCACGGACTGCAGCTGTAAAACACGCAGGGGCTTCAGGCTTAATATAAGTAAGTGTTCCCTCGGACGGACGGCTGGGGACTGGGAGTTTGGGGGACTTGAATTTGTACCAGCTGATAACTTGATTCTTTTTTTTTGCTATGGAGCATGTTTTGAGTGGGAATCCATGGTGGCTCAGCAGTAAAGAATCTGCCTACCGGTGCAGGAGATGCTGGTTCGATTCCTGAGTCAGGAAGATTCCCTGGAGAAGGAAATGGCAGCCCACTCCAGTATTCTTGCCTGGAGAACCCCAAGGACATAGGAAACTGGCGGGCTATAGTCTGTGAGGTCACAGAGTCAGACACGACTGAGCGACTAAACCACCATGACCACGTTTTGAGTCTTGGTTGGATGCGCACGTGTCGAGATGGGGTAAAGGGCCAGTGGTCTATCTGGTATTTGAGACCCCCTTCCAATGTTGAAACTGATAATGGAAGACTGCAACAGTGACTTGAATGGGGCTTCAAGGGCTAAAGTAGACAGAGGCTGGGGTGGGGGTGGAGAGAAGGGTGGGATGTTGTAAAGGTAGGC